CGCACGTCGTCTGTCACGTATTAAGTTTTTTATGTCATCGGGGAGGGTGCCCCGGGGGTTTGTCAGTCGGGGGACAATAGTCTCCGTCGTAGTCTGAGTCAGGGCGTTTTTAATGTCAGTCTCAAGGGAGAGGATTGCCGCCTCCAGATCATGGGTGGTTTCGATGACTGGGAGCGCCATGTTTCCTTGCATTACTGTTCGGAAACGCTCCCAGTCAGTGAACCTCCTCGTGAAGGTGCCTTCATATCTCTGTCTTCGCCCCAGATCCAGAAATATTGGATTGTGGGCGGAAGACCCTTCGTATTGGGTGGATATTTGGGCATTTAACGGTATAGATTTTAAGAGGGCAATGTCGATAACGTCGGGGCGTCCTACGGGTCCGTAATGTGTCGGTTCTGTCGGTCCGAGTATAGTCAAGTTGTCGTGTCTGTCTTGGTAATTCAGCAGGACGCGACCTCTTGTGGTCGTCGTCCCGCTGTGCCATATGGGGGACTTCGCGTTGAAGTCCCCGATTAATTCATTTGATCGATTAGAAAAACATCACACTGGAAGCCTCTGTATAAATATACTTCTCACTCAAAGTTACATTCTGTATTATTTACTATTAGGTTTACCAATAGATTTGAAGTTTGTAGAAGACGAAAGTAAAAACAGCAACATATAATTTTTGTAAAAAGTGGTTTTAAGCAATTTAAATTACCGTCATATTTAATTTTTTATGTCAAATAAGAGATGGCGCAATATGATCCGTCGGTAAAACAAGGCACTGTTCTATATTATTGGTTATTCTAGGGCCACAACCCAAGAAAAAGAAGAAGAAGTGCCGCTTTCGGTTCCCAGTTGTTGGTGCAGGTACAGGCACGGTCTGGGTCCGTCTTTTCTTTTTTACGGACCGTGGGTTATGTTGTAGGGCAGGCAGGTCCTTATTTCTATATTTCTGACTAAATAAAGTGATAATTTTTTAATTATCACAGAAAAATTATTATTTCAATGGAGGATATTTGGGAACAGTATTGTGCGCTGTGCGTCAATACCATAAGCGATGGGAATTTTAAAGAAATACAAGTCGTTACCAGAGATATTTTACAGGTTATTTTGCTGGAAGTGGTGGGTTTATTATCTGAAGTATATGTTAAAAACATACATTTTAAAAGGAGTATTGCGTCATTAATTTAACTTTAATATCTGAACCTTATTAAGATTATTTTCTTCCTACCCTGAAATTTTTTCTTATTCCAGAATTTTGACGGCAGAAGTAAACGAGTAATGTGTAACATTTGTTCATTAGCCGTCATGGAAGCATTCAAATTCAAATCAATGTGTCTCTATACTGATTACACCATAATTCCTTATGTCCATGACAAAACAAGATATTCTGTTAGCTTAATGGAGATTTACACAAAGGAAAAAGGAATTGAACAATCAATTAACACAATGAAGGAGCAGAAAGTATGTCGACTATGTTTTCAGCTAATAAGGGCCGAATTTATCTCGGTACATGACGTAAATATTGATATGATCGAGTGTTATATTCCAGAAATAGTAAGTGTATAACAAGCCTCGTAATTTGTAGTCAGCTGTTATTTAAAATGTTTTAATTTAAAATTGGCTATTTCGGTTTTAAAATGTGAACTTTGTAGAATTTCAGTGTCACCGAAGATCCTGTTATTTGTAGACACTGTTTCGATTCCTTCGACATCCACAGTTCTTTTGTAAGGAGATGTTCGGAAGTAGAGAAAAAATTTAAAAGTATTCAGCCATCATTAATTTCAAGCATTAAGACTGATATCAAAATAAAATCTGAAGCAAGTGATCAGGAAGAGGAGTTGAGCAAAATTGAGTCTACTGTAATGGAAATTGAAAAAGAAGAAATGTCTATTAAAGCTGAGTCTATCGAAATAAAAACGGAAGAAAATGACGAAGAGAGGTATGTAACGTAACTCAAAACTATTGAGGCAGTTGCGCTTTGTTGACTAATTAAATAAATGTGACATTGAAGTATTATGAAATAAATTTTGTAAGTTCTAGAAACTGTTCCTGGGTACATTTTTTCTTTTTAATTCAATTAAATCTGCTTTCTTAAAGATAACCTCTACTGATTCTTCTATTAAAGATTTCAAATGTGCGATAAAAAATAATCAAATTCATAAAACTATGAAGTCGTCTAATTTTCAATCACAAATCTTCTACTTGCTGACATTTGTTAGGTAAAGAAATACATGAGGTATAACGTTAATAATTCTGATAGAAACAAAGAAAAGAAGCTCCTGTGAACTTAAGTCCTAAATGACAATAATTTTGCTAGGTGCAGAATGTAATTTTTTTTATTAAATATGTTCATCTTGAAAATAAATATACAATTATCTGTGCTTATTGTTACTACCTATTACTGATCGCACAAGGGGTATAGTCCAAAGACAATTTTTTATAAAATTTAAAACTTAAACAATCAATTCTACAAAATATCAAGTAAAGGGTATATACAAGCCACGAAAACAAACAAAAATAATAAAAATTAAGAATTAAACTTTCTGTTGGGGAGAAGTGTAATGCAATTCATGGAATTAAAAGAATTATAATTTTATCTATATTTTTGTAATAATCAGTTTATTACTTTTCGTAAAATTAAATGCAAATAAGTTTTATTTTTCAGTGATGTACCTGATTATGAATCAGAACAGGAAGGTATTTCCGAAGTAGACAAAATCAAATATGAACCTAAGGGGCATATGTTGAAAAGGTTAAAGGTAGCATTGAAAAAAATACATATATGTGAAAATTGCGACTATAAGACTGTATTTAAGAACAACTTTGCAAATCATCAGCTGATACACGAAAATGTTCTCAAAACAAAAAAGGAAAGATGTGGTACCAGTTATGAACCGAAGAAGATACCTCTTTTAAGCCATAACTTACATGACAAAAATTCTTCCGGAGTGAACAGGTTTAAATGTATTTATTGCAATTATAAAGCAAAAGGGAGGGGTGTCCTGCGGGAACATTACATAACCAGTCACGAAGAGAATTTGCTAGACCCCAAGGAAAATTCAAAAATAAAACAAATGCTTAATCTCAGATATCCCTTATCTGTGAAAATACATAAATGTGATAGATGTCCCTATACAGGTATAAACAAGAAGAGACTTCTAAACCACCAGTGCAAGTTGCCCCTGCCCCACCAAGTGATGCACGAGAACCCCTCAAATATGGAAATGTACAAGTGTCACAACTGCAATTATGAAACCAAATATAAGAACCACCTTACAAAGCACCAGTTAAAACACAAAAATCCGGAGCAAGTACAAATGCACAAATGCATTTACTGCAATTATGAATCAAAATGTAAGAGAGGTTTGAGGCCCCATCTATTAAATATTCATGCAGACGTCTTATATGACCCCAAGGAGAATTTGAGGGTTCAGGGTATACTGAATTTCAGGAAGCCAATTTCACTAAAGACGTACGAGTGTGATAAATGCATCTATGAAACACTAAACAGGTGCCTCTTCACCGCCCACCAGTTAACACACAGGGACCGATCACACATCAGAATGTACAAGTGTGATGTGTGTGATTTTGAAACCAAATATAAGAAAAGTCTTGACGGCCACAAAATGACACATGCCGAGGAGCTAAATTTCAAGTGCCACATCTGCAGTTACGCGACCAAGCAAAAAAAACAACTTGCCCGCCACAAGTTAACACACTTAAACATTGCCGAAGTGCAAATGTACAAGTGTCACAACTGCGATTATGAAAGCAAGTATAAGGGCCACCTTGCAAGGCACCAATTAAAACACCAAAATCTGGAACAAGTACAGATGCACAAATGCATTTACTGCAGTTATGAATCAAAATATAAAGAAAGTTTGGGGTTGCATATGGAATTTAAGCACAGAGACAAGTTGCTCGACCCCGAAGAGAATTTAAAGGCAACGCGTATGCTGAATCGCAAAAAAATATTTTCGTTTGAATCATACAAATGTGGCAAATGCTACTTTGAAACCCCACACAGAAGAATCTTCAATCGCCATCTTTTGACTCACAAGGATCGATCGCAGGTGCGAATGTACATGTGCAATGAATGTGGTTATGAAAGCAAGCGTAAGGATAGTCTCACTAAACACAAATTGAGACACAAAAGTCCAGCCAAGGTGCAATTATACAAATGTGACACTTGCAACTATGCAGCCAAGAGGAAAAGTGCCCTTAAACGGCACCAGTTAACCCACAATAATAACGTTGAAGTGCAAATGTACAAATGTCGGACATGTAACTACAAATCCAAATTTAAGAGTAGCCTTGAAATTCACCAATTACAGCATAAAAGCCATTCCAAAGAGAAAATGTACACATGTGATATGTGTGATTATGAAACCAAATACAGGATTTGTCTTATTAACCACAAACTGATGCACAAAAATCAATCTGAGGTGCAAATGTACAAGTGAAGTTTTTGCACTCATGCGACCAAGTATAAGTATAGTTTTGCAATTCACCAGTTGTGGCATGAAAATGCATGGAAACCGTTTCATCGTACACAAGTACAAGTATAATACGTGTGATTTTAGTACTAAATATGAGACCTATTTTTATTACCATAAATTGGCACAAAATTTCTAAAGTGCGAATGTAAAGTAGTATATTACGTATTTTTTTTTTGTTGATAGAAAAAATGAGTGTATCGCATTTATTGCCTCTACAAGGACTGTTACAGAGCTGCGACAAGGTAACGCAACGTCCGAGGGACTTGCGAAAGTACATTTATTTCGATAGGTCCCGTCCCAAGGCCGCTCGTCTATACTGCAGGCATTATTCGCTGGTGAGAAACACCGGCTGGCAAAGATCGTCTTTTTATATGTTTTAGGTAAGCTATGATGCCATATGTGTATTCTGTATAATATGCATATTTTATCAGCATATTTTCGTTAAGAGAACGGACAGTTACCGAAAATGGAATGGAATTAAATAAGGATGTAGTTATTTATTAGAAATGAAAATATGTGAATGCTCTTTGACAGGAAAAGTCTGATAAGATAAGCAAAATTTGATGACCTTGCAGAAGTTGCGATCTGATTTCAATGGATTTTAATTAGTTATCATTTGTTAATAAGTTTCTAGCTTCTTTAGGGAGATCGTGAGTGTGCCCAAGCTCTCAAAACTAATTTGATTCTATTTAAAAAAATTAGTACTTTGCGTACGGTCACTTTGAAAATGAAAAAAAAATTAGCAACCTGTATAGAAAATCAAGAAAGTAGTAACATTTCTAGAAGTTTGAGAGCTTGAGTACAAACAAAATTATAAATCGGAAAAATACCTGTAAAAATAAAATATGTTTAGATGTTTCATGTTCAGTACATATAATCAATTTGAATAAACAATATTAAATACATATTGTTAAGCTGATATAAAATGCCAAAGAAAGCGTTGTATGCTGTTTAGTTTGTGAAAAGGAAAACAAATTTTCTACTTGTTTAGTGTATGTTATGTTTTAAATAATAAACATTGTTAAATCCATCGTTATGTATTATAATAGTATCAAACTAATTATTATTTTTTTATATTTGTAATGTTTATTTGGTTTTGAATAATAAATATTTATTTTTTAAAAATTATAAATCTGTATTTTCATAATGTTTTTATAATTTATTGTAGTACCTCTAAAACTATTGAATTTGCACTATAAACTTTAACTTACCCTGCTAGCTCGTTCTGGGTACCAGGTCATTTTGATCACTTAGTTTGATATGAACTTGTTTCCAGATTTCCAAACTTTTATCATCTTATAGGCCAATTAATTTTAAAGATTATTCTTAATTTTGATTTGAATTTGGATTTAAATTCAGGAATTTTAATGACAGCCGTTACTAATTATCTTATATATAAAATTCTCGTCACAATGTTCGTTCCCGTACTCCTCCGAAACGGCTTGACCGATCCTCATGAAATTTTGTGAGCATATTGAGTAGGTCTGAGAATCGGCCAACATCTATTTTTCATACCCCTAAATGTTAAGGGTGGTCCACCCCAAAATTTTTTTTTTTATTTTTTGGACAAAATTTTTTATTTTTATTTTTTTATGATGTGGCTTTAAAAAATACATACAATCCTAAATTTTCACCCTTCTACCATCAACCCCTATTTTTTAATAGCGATATTAGTAATTCAATAATTTTCAACCCCGGTCGATAACTGATCAATTATCACTTGATCATTTTTTTATCCCCGCCAGGCGTCGACCGGTGTCACTTCTGACCCAGTAAACAGAACGGAGTAGGGATGAGATCTCTCTCACACAATAAGCCGTTTCTCACTCTCTACAGTTTTCGGCCATTATTATTATTGTTTGTGCATCAATCGTAATAGTGACGTTTACTATTAACATTAATAAAAAAAATATACATGATATACACTGAATAACACTAAATATAATATAGATGGTAGAAGTGAAATTTCTTTATGCAAAATCTACTAAAATAATCCTAGGAATAATTTATATGGCAAAACAACGTTTGCCGGGTCTTTCTAGTTATTTACATAAAATTGTATTTCTTATTATATCAAAATTTAATTTAGTATGATCACATGTATGATGAACTCTATGATTTCAGTAGTCGGTTCTGAACAGGATTATAATGACTATGAAATTGCTATTCCGTTTCCTTGCTTACGACACCACTTCTTTTTACACTGCACTCATCTATAATTTTTTTTATATATAATTTTCAATTTCAACCAATCAGATTATTGTATGCATTTCAAATTCAACATTGTTAATATCATTTGTTTTCTCATACTTAATTTCACTATTTTATTGTCAATTTTGACCGAGATTTAATTTGATTTTACCATTTATTATAAACTGTCATTCTATTTACCCAACCTAGATTATTCTGATTATCTCATCACCATTTATCCAAATATGTTGTTACTTGATGTATTTCTACTTAATTTCAATTTATTCAATAATAATAAATTCTGTCTATTTACGATACATTTTTTGAGCCAGAGCCAGTGTATTTATCCAATATACAATGTGAATTAAAACAGAACGTTTTTTTTATTAAGGTCTAAAAGAAAAGAATTATTAAATAAAGTGTGCTTTCGACTAGATGAATTGCTTTTAGAATTAGCGAGTTTCCCTCTATTGTGCTCGCGCATGCGTATTTTAATTTTTTAGTGTTGGGTTTTAGACGCGATTGCTAACCGTGAATCTTTTGCACCTAGTTGTCTTAAGGTAAGTTCATGCAGTAGCGATTTGCGAATTGCTATTTTATATGTACGTAGTGCATAGGCGTCCATGACAAATTTACTAGAAGGGTGATAAAGGTAAATATATTTAATTTTTTGGTTTGAAAATTTGCCAAGTGTAAATACAAGCAATAAACATCAAAGAAAAATAATAAAAACTAAGAAAATATAATTAAACTCTCTGATTTGATAGCAGTTTCTGCATTGGATGTAAAAATCGGGCAGGAGTGCAAGTCATTTTCAGTCTGTATTATATTTTTGTAATAATGATTTTATTACTGTTCGTAAAACTAAATGAAAACAAGTTTTATTTTTCAGTGGCATACCTGACTATGAATCAGCATACGAAGGTATTTCCCAATCAGAGAAAATCAAATGTAAACCTAAGAGGCATATGTTAAAAAGGAAAAAGGTAGTAGTGAAAAAAATACATACGAGTGAAAAGTGCGACTATAAGACTGTATTTAAGAACAACTGCAAATCATCAGCTGATACACGAAAATGCTTCCAAAATAAAAAAGGGACAGATGTGGTATCAGTTACACGACACCTGCGACTATGAAACCAGATATAAGAGCAATCTTATAACGCAACAGTTACGACATAAAAATCCTGCGAACGTGCGAATGTACTCGTGTGAAACGTGTGATTTCAAAACAAAATATAAAAGAAGTCTTATTAACCACAAACTGTTGCACAAAAATCCATCTGAGGTGCAAAAGTACAAGTGTAGTTCCTGCGATTTTGCAACCAAGCATAAGTATTATCACTATAATGTGTGAATTGAAAACAGAAAAATAATTTTTTTCTCATAAACTATTTAAGTATACAAAAAATGAGAAGAGTGAAAAAAGTTTCCAAATGAAATGTAGTGTTATATTTTTCTTGTTGGAATTAACTAACATAGAAAAAAGTTCTGAGAGAAATAAAACCAAGGGGTGCTAATTTCTTTGATTCAAAGACATAAACCAGAAAAAAAAGACTACCAAAAGATTTCAATTTGTTGTTCAATTTCATCATTCAATTTGTTGTTAACGTGTACCAAAATTCAGATTTTTAAGTTTAACCGTTTTTGGCGAAAAAAAATAAAAGCTAATTTTTTTGGCCATTTTGAGATCCGAATATCAGGGGGGATTGGAGGTACTCCCCCTAAAATTACTTTCTATAAAACACCTTAAAATATATGCACATCATTATGATACACACTTCGTATTTGCATATTTTATTTTACAAAATATATATAAAAATAATTAAAAAAGACAGTAGAATGCAGTGAAAATTAACCAAAAAAATAGTAAAAAAAAGTAAATAGAAAATGTGAATAAGAGCTTTTCCCAAAAAAAAGGACAAATATACTTCTACAATTTGTGGCAAAACTAAGACGGGTTGCAATTAATTCCATGTAAGTGACTATCTGTCTTTCTTTGTCTATTTGTCTTTATCTGTGCTGTAATTGTGAACATGAGAACAGAAGAAGAAGAAGAATGAAATTTGACACGAGTATTTAGAAAGGTGTTGTGTTTGCAAATATTTTATTTAAAGTAGATATTTTTTTAATTATCAAAGAAAAATTATCTATATGGGGAATTTTGGGGAACAGTCTTGTGCGCTATGCCTCAGTGTCTTACGCGATGGGAATTTTGAAGAAATACATGGTGTTACAAAGGATATTTTAGAAGTTATTTTGCCGAAACTCGTAAGTTCAGTAATGTATTTGTGACATTTTTCTATTTTTGTTTAATTGCCACACTGAGAAAAACATTTTTTGTATAAATGAACTTAAATTAAATTAAATACTTCTTCTCGATTATACAATAATCACAGTTTTTTGGTTTTGTTAATCTACTTTCTGTAGCGACTTTAAATAATGGTTTGATGTATTGCTATGTGGCATAATAAAGATATAAAATTAGGACAATTTTTCAAACTGTGTTTACATGCCTTGCTTGTGAATGTAGTAAACTTCAAGATCTTATGTTAAAATGTCTGTTTTATCAAGTAGTGATATATTTTTTTTCAAACAATTCCTTACATTTTGATTATTGAACAAATATATGATTTCTTACATCTCCGTAAAGGTAGATAAACAAAATGAGAAAACTGTTGCTTTGACTTTGTCAGTTTGAGTTTTTATAATTTTTCAAAAAACTGAGTGTGCCATGTATTATAGTCATCAAAATTGTGTTACATCGCCTTTATTAAAAATAACAGCTTTAACTCTGGCGGTCATTGCATCTACCAACTTAGCGCGCTCTTCAGGAAGCGTGCTGTCCCAATTTTTTTGCAGTTTGATGCGTAGATCGTTAACTGAATGGGCTGGATGTTTGCGCAACTATTTCTTCATTTTATGCCACAATGTTTCTATTGGCAAGCGGTCTGGACTGCTAGAGGGCTATTCCATAACAGGAACATTATGTTTCTGTTACCAATATTTTTCTTTAATAAAATAGTTTTTTATTTAAATAGTAAAATTATTCCTGGCCGAACTATCATGAGCTCATTTACATAAACAAAAAAATTTATCCAACAATATATCTCTACTAAAACAATATAGGCTGACAAACCTATCATTGACGTATTTATTAAAGTTTATTAGAAGTCATCTTTTCCTGTATCAGTTTACTTTGAGGCTCCTAGTATGCTTTTTTTGATTCTTAATTAAAAAAAAATTAAATAAGCTGATTGGTTAGGTTTTTCTATATGTAAAACGTAAGAAAACGACCTAAATGGTAAAAATGTTACTTCTGATTACTACAAATAAGAAACGCACATGCTTCAAGGAGTTTCAAAGTATACTGAGTTGCTGTAGGAAGTAGGTTATGTTCTCAATCGCACTGAATGACGTCACAAGGCATTCTTGATCACATGACAAAAATTAAATTTTTACACAGTTATAAACACCTTCAATTAATTTGTAGCATATAGACTACAAATTTATGTAGTTCTAAAAGAAATTTTCATGTAAGTTGCCTATTATTTTTAAATAGTGTACAAATTTCGTTTAGTGTCTTACCTCAGATATAACATACCTAATTCTTTTTAAATTCGTAGTGTTTTTTATTAAACTTTAAAGGCTTGGATTTTTTCTTCCTACTATTACAATTTTTCATGTTTCAGAATTTTGATAGCGGCACTAAACAAGTAATATGTAATGTTTGTTCACTAGAAGTATTGGAAGCATTCAAATTCAAGTCGACGTGTCTCTATACTCATAACATCATAATTTCTTACATGGACGACGGAACAGGATGTTCTGTTGACTTAAGAGAGATTTATGCAAAGGAAAAGGGAATCGAACAATTAATCGACACATCAGACGAGCATAAAGTATGTCGATTTTGCATGCGGCTAATAAGCACCGAATTTATCTCAGTACAAGAAGCAAATATGGATATGATCAAGACTTTTATACCAGAAATAGTAAGTATGTCGTACCTTTTGTAGTTTTTAGTTGTCTGTTAAAAGAGATCTTTGTAGAATTTCAGTGTCATCAAAGATCCCGTTACCTGTAGACAGTGTTTTGATTCCTTCGATGTTCACAGTAGCTTTGTAAGAAGATGCTTGGAAGTAGAGAAAGGAATTGAAGGTATTTACCGCATGGTCCCCAGTGCTCAGCGATCATTAGTTTCCAGAATTAAAACCGAAATCGAAATTAAATCTGAAGCAATTGAACATGAAGAGGAGTTGAGCGAAGCGGAATCTGCCAGAGCGAAACCTGGAGACAAAGATATGCGGATTAAAACTGAGGCCATTGAAATTAAAATGGAAGAAAATGATGATGAGAGGTATGTAACTAAAAACAGTTGAGACAGTTGCATTAATAAAAATAAATGTGGAATAAAATAAGTCAATAAAGATGATTGGTCAACATTTTGTGTTCTAGAAACTGATTGTTTATATTTTATCTTTTCAGTTTAATTATATTTGATACTATTAGCCTGGTAGGTTTCTAAATCTAATTAAGAATAATCTGTTTCTGCCACATTTATTTAATAACAGATGTTAGTTTTGAGAATGAAAATAAATTAATTTTGGTCGGACAAAATTAATTTCATAAAAACTGATTTTTGTGGCACAAGCGATATTTTGATAAATTTTCAACTAGGTAGTTGCAAATTACCCCGATAAACATAAAAATAGTTTCACAAACTATATGTTAACATTCTAATAAATGTTTCAAATAATCAAATAAATATCTTAAGGACATATATCGGGTTTACTCAAATGCACAGATGTACCTGAAATTTATATAGCGTATTACCCAGTGGTCATATTTTTGTAAAAATTTTTTTGAATCTAGATTTTGAGATATTGTTATTGAAATTTGTTCATTTTAACATAGGTTTATATGGTGAAGATGGACGGTGCGGCTCTTTTTTGCCCATAACAGAAAAAAATGTAGAAATCATGAAACAAAACTTTTCCACAGATAGTACACAGTATTATCTTATTTTTGATGTAAAACTAATGTAAGTTTTGAACATAGTACAGCTGAATTAATGTCTGACTTGAGGATTAATGTGGCAACGTCGCAATTCGCTGCCAGCAAAGAGGTAATACATTTGAAAGACTTGATAAAAAAGAAATTGATTTCAAACANTCATCTCGTGTATCTAATGACCAATGCAAAATTCTAAGATTTATATATTTCTTTTGCAAATTTAATACTATTGTAATCTTTAATTATTTTGAATTCAATTCCCTTCAAGTAATCTCTAAAATGATTTAAAGAATGAAATATACTAGTATACACAACATTTCGAGTTCGTAACTATGAAACTTAATTTCATCAGTCGGACAACTATTTTGAAACAATAAAAAACAGTGAAATTTTCCATCACCTGTCTTTGCATAAGGACACTACCGAACCCTAAAGAGGATGCATCACAATGTAATTAAGCCTTTGCTTTTGGATTATATATTTTTAAAACAGGTTCTTTTACACAAATTGTCTATTATGGGTCACAAAAGAAGTATATTTTATAGAATCCGGATGTACATTTACATGAAGAAATGCATCTTTTAAGTCTAATCGGGTAAAAAAATGTTTATTTCTCAAAAGATCAATTTGACCATGAATTATAGAGACGAAGGGAAATTGTTTCGGTCTGAAATTTTATTTAATTCCCACATACAACACATACGAATACCCGAAGGTTACTAAAACAATAGGGGAACTATATACCGATAAACTTTTCCTAATATTGCTTTGCGATAATAAATTTTCAATAATTTTATTTACTTCGCCTTTCTCATAAAATGACAAGTGATGTGGTTTAAAGAAAAAAGGTTTCTGATTTGGCTTTACTCTTATTGATATCTCGCATTCAACCTCTGGTTTTTCAGATCTAATTCTCTGGACATAATTTTGAGTACAATTTTTTATAAATGTAACCCTTAATTTATGATCTAGTTGTGGATTTACATCTACATCTAATTCATTTGATCATTTATCACATTGATTAGAAAAATATCACACTGGAAGCCTCTGTATAAATATACTTCTCACTCAAAGTTACATTCTGTATTATTTACTATTAGGTTTACCAATAGATTTGAAGTTTGTAGAAGACGAAAGTAAAAACAGCAACATATAATTTTTGTAAAAAGTGGTTTTAAGCAATTTAAATTACCGTCATATTTAATTTTTTATGTCAAATAAGAGATGGCGCAATATGATCCGTCGGTAAAACAAGGCACTGTTCTATATTATTGGTTATTCTAGGGCCACAACCCAAGAAAAAGAAGAAGAAGTGCCGCTTTCGGTTCCCAGTTGTTGGTGCAGGTACAGGCACGGTCTGGGTCCGTCTTTTCTTTTTTACGGACCGTGCCTAGATAAATGATGGACCGTGGGTTATAGAGATGAGCTTACCGGTGATTTTGCGATCACCGATAATAATATATCAGCGACTCACAAATAACAGTGATTTTTACCGGCGAAAATCACTGGTTTTGTTCGAGCTGGATCATCTCCGTGGTATTGGTCGGGTGTCGGGTCGCTGTTTCACTGATTCGCCGGTGGGAGAAAATATTAATTGTTCTAACTTGCAATGTTTATTGAGTAATATGTAATAATAACATTAAAATATCAGATTCTATTGGTTGATAGTTTATATTTTGTCGCATATTTTTAAATTGGAGACCGGTATTTAAATAATTTAAAACAATTTATTTTACTATATCATATATTTTAATTATAAAAATAAATAAATACAATGCTTTTAACGGAAATAAATATATAAAAAATAAAAAACAAATAGACATTTATAACATAAAATTAAATTAGATAGGATATCTAACAAATAATAAACTCGTAAAAAGGAAACAAAACATGAATATTAAAATATGTCGTTAGGTAGGTACCTAAAACTTAAGTGTTCATATTTAAAAATAAAATTTTATCTACTTTATTGCCACTTAGTCTATTTCGGCGATCTGAAATTACCAATCCAGCTTTAGAAAAAATACGCTCACATGGTACCGAGGTAGCGACGATACTGAGTTTTTCTTGAGCGACAATACTTAAATATGGGTAACTGTATTTATGTTCTCGCCACCAGTCAAGAGGATTATCGTTTCGGGGAAGCAAATCCTCTTCCATATATCGCTGAACTTCCATCAGGGCCCTAGACGTTGCAGTTCCTTTCGGTTTTACGGTAGCTGTTGATTTTTCTAGGGAACTCCAAATTGATAATTCGTCATCTTCATCTACACGAGAGTCTTCAGTATTTGGCACTTTTTCGACTTGGTCACCAGTTGGTTTTGCTTNTAAATCCTTTTAATATATTTAATGGTTTATAAAAACATCGTAATCCGTACCCAGCAATATTTACACAGTTTTCTTTACTTGATTAATATAATTAGTAATACTTGAGATAAAAGCATTTGTACGGAATAACAAAAGAACATAAATATTTCTCCGCAAACTTTATATCTAAAAAATTAGTTATAGCTGCAAAACTTTTGTGCACATTACTAAAATAGAGTTGAAAACACGAACAGTGAATAATAATGTAATTTCTATCACAGAACCTTCAAAATTCGTCCAACATTTTCTTTGACTTGGACGAAAGATGGGCGCGAGTGTCATTTCATCTCTTTAGAACTGAATTATCATAATTATTTTCTCGTTGTTTTACCAGTTCACATGATTTACGGATTTTAAATAAAGAATACAAAACTTCGCGAGGATAATACGATATATTTGCTATATATAATAATTATGTTTTATATAGTTTACACACAATACATTTTTGAACGCGTACGCATCTTTACCCGAATTTGACGTGCAATATCTCCAATGTCCGAGGTCTGTAGGTTCGTAGTGTGTTCAACTGCACTCGATTATTAGCGCAGTTGCCACATCTACATAGTGTTTACGCGTTCATTAAATATAATTTAAAACTACTTATATATGATATTTTTATGTCGTTAATTTTCAATATGTATGCTATGTGCATATTGAGTAGATTTCTTTGCTATATAGATAAATATTTATTGCAAATAATTTCAATAGAATTTAATTTTTTCAAGTTGGCAGAGGGTTTTAGTCTCAAGAAAAGCATAGGACCCCCCTGCGATCCTCACTTCCCTCGGACCCCGATATACCTCTTTAGGCAAATCTTCACAAACAAGAATTATTCAACCCATCAGATTTTTAATTATTTCTTCATTTATTTGGATATTTTGCCAACTGCGAAAAAAAAATTAAAAACACTTCTGCTGAAAGGATCAGTCGAGGGTTATTTTTTATGAAAATAATTTTGTCTAAACAAAAAAACACTGAAAAATAAAACATACAAATGCAAAATATAAAAAATATCACTTTAAAGTTGTTAACGTTTCGAAAATTAATCTTTCGCATGTAAAATAACTTAAGACATCAGATTTACGATCATTTATTACAGTCCTGCTAAATTGTTATAAAAACAATGATGAATTACAAGTATTTAATTGCTTATGTGATCATTTTCTATATACAGGTGTTTTCTAAGTAATCGAAAATAATTCAGAGGGTAATTCTGCAAATCATTTTATGAAAAAAAAATAGGTAGAGCTTCTAATAAACGAGAAAGATTACAATTTTCCATTAAAACGAAAACATGGCTGTGCACGGACATGGCTATAATCATATTGATGGCGCTCATATTTATAAAAATAAAGTGAAATAACAATAATCTAACTAATATCAAAGAACATGCTAACTAAGAAAAAAAGTAACAAACCTAAAAAGGAAAAATTATATATTGAATGGACTACGTGTAGTGTCAGGAAAGAAGGCTATTTAGTTAAGAATTTCAATTAGATTCCTAGTTTCTGTTGTACCTAATGTAATTATATATTTTTTAAAAATCTTTTTTATTATGTTTAATGAGTTTATTTCTTCTAAATAAATTTTGTACATTTGTAGCAAACTATTAAAGATTTTTTCTGACAGGTGAATATGACAGCGTAGCCTAATATTTCTTTGTGAAAGGTAAATTTTTGCATTATTGTTTTCTTTATATCTTGGACAATAACAATAACTGACTTTTTCAAACGTTTTGTTCTTGTAGATAATAATCTGGTGCATATACAATTCAGCTCAGTATTGCATATTGTAGTCTTGATTGGACTAATGCATAATATAGTATTTTTAAATGTGATAAATCTAAAATATTTTTTATGTATTTAAAACGATACAAAACTTGCCTTAGTATTTTGGTTATGTTACTTGTATGAACATGCCATTGCAAATGAGAATCAATAGTGACTCCCAAGTATTTAAAATCAATTTAATATTATA